TTGCCATGCAAAATGCAATCTGAACATTTTACTATATTCAGGGCCTTGGTAGAGACACTATCTATGTTTTTACCTTGGTCAAATGGGTGCCAAGATGTCAGTATAGTTTCTGACAAGATAGCCAGCTCTTGAGTTGATGAGCACATGCAAAGGGTCTAGTCCTCCTGGCTTAAATTATCCAGACAATTGCCTTGAGTCACCCTAAACTTAGCAGCACAGCGCAACAGAGAAATTTTAGATTTTTTGTCCTTTTGGAAAGGTAGGCACTGGAAGAATTCACATCTGGCTCTGAAATAGGAAGCCTGTGGCCCTAGAAAGCAAGCAGTTTCCTTGCAGAAAGTTCCAACGAGGAGCAAATCTTGGAAACAATCTTCCCTTTGCCTGCAAACTGATCAAATAGTAATTATCACATTTAAGGGGTAATTGTTCCAATTGTAGCAGAATGGGATGCTCCAGTCCTCTTTCTTCTGCTGACACAAAATTGCTGTGAAGATGGAATGGTGCTTCCAGAACAGGTTGCTTTGAGCTAGTTCTTTTTACAGTGATTCTAGAGTCAGGGAAAGGTGCTGTGTGGGCAGGCCCTATTGGGCCTGCTGGTTTGTTGGCCTCTGAAGCTCTTTCTTTTTTGTGGCTGGGTCCTTTGATACCTACCTGCAGCCACAGACCCAGATCCCAAAGTAGCACCCATCTGGACCCCAGGCATTAGGACTTGAAACTATTCTTGTCAGATACCTAGACTTGGACAGGAGGCCTGCTATTTCTTGTATAAGCCATAGTGCGGATGAAATGGGGAGTCTGGCCTGAGATGCTTTTATGCAGGCAGGATGAGACAATAGCCCTTCAATAACAGGGTTACCAGGAGAGGAAGAAAGAAAGGAAGCAAACTATCACATGCTGAGCAATGACTATGTCCTAGGCACTGTTCAGAGCATTTCCTCATATGTCATTTTAGTTAGGTAGCAGGGCCCCAGGTAGCTAAAGCACAGTGGACAGAAATGATGGGGTACAGTGTTTGGGAGTCAGCCAGGGAAGGAGTCCTTATGTGGGTGTGCTGAGGTCCTGAGCTTCAGGCTTTGGCTTTCTGCCTCTGGAGTAGGCAATAGCAAAGCCAGCTAGGGTAGCAGGACCCAAGGCAGATGCCAACCTTGAGTGCCACTTGTGAGCAGCTAGGGAGAGTTAGATAAAATGATGGTGGGGAGGAGAGCCCAGGAGTACCCAGGAATTCATTTGTCTCTCTCTAGCTGTGGAGCACCATGGCAAGGGGACAGGTACAGGGGAATGGGGAGAAGTGACTCAGGAGCAGGACCCTGAAGGACCTTGTATATTACATAGAGAAGTTTGGGCTTTCTCCTAGGGCATTAGAGGGATATTGAAGGGTTTAAGGATGTGATTTCATATGGAATTGGAATCTCATTTTGGCTGTCCAGCAGTGATGGGAAGAATAAGAAGGTTGGTGAACAGCATGCTCCATGCTGGGGAAGCACTATCTTGTCAGGAAATTTTTAGTTGCTAGTGACAGAAACTTACCTTGTGAACCAACCCTGAGGTAGTCCCACAAACTTCCTCCTCTGAAGACTCATAGCAGTACAGTTACAGATGCAGTCTGTCTTCAGGAACTGCTGGAACAGGGGCTTGAACGTAACCAGAACTCTTGCCCTCTCTTGTTTTTACTCTCTTCCAGCTGCCAACTCTGCAAGGTATAGAATAATGGTTGAGACAATGGGCTGTGGAACCAGATGACCTTTGTTACTAGCCGTGTGTCACTGGGAAAGTTACTTAACCTTGCTGTCCCCCAGTTTCCTCATCTGTAAATAAGGGTGATCATGTCATTTGCTTCCTGGTACTATTGTGAGAAATAAATGAGTTAATGCACATAAAAGGCTTGGCATAGTGCCTGGTACATAGATGCTTAAAAAGTGTTAGCTGTTACCACTGTTATTTACACTGTCCGACTGCAGACTGTTTTTTCCCAGGTGGTAGGAAAACAGGCTCTGACACTGACCTGTTACATCTGACTTCAGCCATCAGAGAGAGACTGGCCAAGTTTTCTCTTGTTCTAAGTCCAAACATCCAGAGGGAAAAGACTCAGAGACCAGCTTAAATTTGACTTCACTCCTGACCCATCAACATGGTCAAATGACAAGTGCCATGATTGCTCCATTTGATCTGTGGTCCCATATGTATAGATACAGGGACCTTCCAGACGAGTCCCTGGCCAGTCTAGTTGGGGAGGGCAGGATCCCAACTCCCCCAGGTGACGGTGCTATGAGGAGGCACACACAAAGTCCCGTAGATATTCATGTTTCACAGGGCACCTGCCGAGGCCCATGGGACCTCTGCTACTTGTGGCATCCTCTGTGGCTTTGTATTCCCTTCACAGAAAGCAGTGAAAAGTATAATGGACAGATCGTGACATTGTTAGGCCTGGTCAGTAGATGTAACAAGTATGGAAATGTGGATGCGTGGCTCCTGGGTACCTAGTTGGCTCTCTGGCCCCAGGTCCCCAAGCTCCTTCCTGACAACTGTGCCTGAGCCCTGGCCCCTAGCCAGCAGTGCTCCATTCCTGCCCCCTCAGTCCTTGGCCAGTCCCCCTACACAGCCTTCCTCTTCTCCCTTATTAGAGGGCCTGGCCTGTACCTTCTAATGCCCCCAGGCCCTTTTGCTGGGGTTCAGGAGCCAGATCCCAGTCCCTTGCCCATCCCTTCTTCTCTGTCAGGGTGGGGCAAAGGTGATGGTCGAAATAGGAAGCCCCATCACCTTTGTCCTCTTTATCTTCCAGGGCCTCTTTTATACCAAACCCTCTCACCACCCTCTTGGCTCAGTGACATTTTCCTGTACACCATCTTCATAGAAGCTGTGATTCAAATTCTGTCCTCAACAAAATTCCAAATTATTCCTTGTCTTGAAATTTTGGGTGACTTGAAAATGGTCAAACTAGAAAATGTTAAAACCTGTGAATGTCAAGGGTCTACAGTTCAGTTGTGGAGCAAAATAATCCTGTCTGTGGTGATTGACTGAAGGCTTTTTAGGGCAGGTGGCATTTAGCTGAGCCATGGAGGAGGGGCAGGGTTTTGACAAGGCAGAAGAGCAGTGTGGAGGATTAGAGTGAGGAAGGCACACGGGGACAGGGCAGGTCATGTTTAGGGGCTGGGGAAGGTCAGATGTGCCTGGAGCTCAGGATGAATGGAAGGATTAATGAGAGTTAAGGCTGGAACACTACAAAACCCTCAGAATCCTCATGACAAACAGCGTTCTCTTCGCCAGCAGCCCTGATGTGGGTAAGGATTTGAGTGTCCTATGCACCATTGTAAGCAATGAATGGAGCCTTTATTATGAAGAAACAAGGTAGAGTTGGTGGAGCATGTGTGTGTTTTGTTGTCCTTATGGAAGTCAGCCTGACTAGGGTAAGCAGTGTTTTTTGTTCATGGTAGATTTAAAAATCCATCACCTCATAAACATTAACTGGTCCTTGGTTCACTTTCCAGAAGATGCCCAGAGTAGTGCTCGGTGAACACTTGTGGAGTGGAGATGAGCTGCCTTCCAGGTGATCTTCCCAAAACATAAATATCTTCCACTTAAAACCGTCCAGAAACTAAATGTCTTCCATTTAAACCTTCTTGGATCTCCTGTCTCTGACTGATAAGTTGTTTGGTTACTCAGTTAGTTGCCTCGTTAAACTGTAAATTCATATCAGTAATTCCAGCATCTAGCCCAGAGCCTGGAGCAGAATGAGTTCTTAATATTGTATAGGTAAACTGAGCCATGAAGAGTATAGGAGTTTGAGTTTGGGGAATAACTTTGGAGGGCGAAAGGGTGTGAGGGGGTCAGGTCAGTCAGAGCTCGTAGTTAGAAATAACAGAATCTATTTACCTGGCTAAGCAAAAAGGGGTTTATGAAAAAGCGTTTATAGCTCACAGAATTGCTCAGAAGGCCAAAGAGACCATCCAAATTGAGCTTCCAGGAATGGCTCCCCCAATCACAATGCAGAGTTGCTGCCTTTGCCTAAATCAGGAAGCTACGCTATCAGGAAGCTGCTGCCACAGCTCTTGGCTCTGGAACCAAGTCAGTTTAACTCTGATATACACAAAATGATCAATGCCTCATGCTACATTCTTTCCCCATGCAACTCAGTTCTAAATTTAAGTCTCAGACTAGTGCATCTGACTAGAGAAATTAAATCACATTCACAATCTAGGTGACAAGAAGTTTGGGAAATAGTGTTTTTAGTTCAGCGGCCTCAGTACAGAACACCAAAGAGGGGACTGAATGGGCCAATTCACTATGTCTGCCACCACTGGGCTGCTGGGAAGATAGGTTAGGCACAGGTAGCCACACTCCTTCATTCATTCAGTAACATTCTCTGAGAATCTACTGTGTTTAGGGCCTGAGCCAGGAAAGGTGCGGAAACACAGTGCCTGCCCTTGGGGCACTGGCAGTTCAAAGCAACAATGCAGAAATGGTCAGCAGGAAACTATCACACTTGCCTCAGGACAGAACGCGTTTCAGAGACTGGGTGAGGGTGGTGCTTCAAGTAGGAGTCAAGTACACTCCCCATCCCACCATGGAGGCCAAGGGGCAGAAACCCTGGCAGTGAGTGCAGTTGGGCCTACCAACACGAAACTTACCCTTTTAGGCGAAAGCCACTCTTTCAAAGATTCCCAGAGCTGGAAGGGATGTCCAACAGTGATGGCTGCACAAACTTCCTCCTCTCTAGCATCTCTGAAGAGTGATGGAAATTATTATTAGCTTTATCCAGACTCTTGGTTTACTTTTTAGTTTTCTGATTCTCGTTTTGCAGGTCAATACACAGTGGCAGGTTGCCTCCCAGATAAAATATGCAAACAGGTATAAGAATAGAAAATTTAGTAACAGCAAGTTTAAAAATGCTAATGAAATCAGGACACAAAGGAATCATAAGCCTGGTTCCTACAGCAGCTGAGCTAATGTGTTAGGCATTTGAGGCTATGAGCAGGTGTGTGAGGCTGAGCTGCGAGCCCTCTCTGAAGGTCATAAGAGGGGAACATGATGATCACAGAAGCGCCACAGAGGATACTGCTTAAACCAGAAGGGAGTGTGTGTAGATGAGTTTCCTTCATAATAACAGGGCCCGGATTGCACCCACTTCATTCATTTTGTCTCACTGATAACTGTGTGGAGTCTCTGAGTCCAAATCTGACTCCACACCCAGGCTGAGTGGTCTTCTCCTCCTTCTGGGGGAGCCAGGCGCTAAGTGCATGGTGGCCACGGTAAAGTAGGCTTTCCCAAATGCTGTGCCAGCTCTATAGACCACCAGCAGTTATTAGGGCCTGCCTGTCAGCTTCCTAGCTACTGAAGGTGGCCTGAGAATGGGAGAATGAGGCATGTACTGCAGAGATGTGTGGTAATAAGGAAAACAGACATGGGAGCCCAGGCCTGGAGCTCAGGAGAAGAGAGTGGTGGTCAGTATAGGAGGGAATAATGAGACCTAGAGGAGGAGGAATGTTCGGAATCTGGGGCCTCAGGAGTAGGACTTTGTAGTTCCTCTCTCTGTTGCTGCATCATTAAATTTACTTTTCTCTGTTTCTCTTCTAAACAGAAATCAGTCCAGTTGCCAGCAGGAAATGGATGGCATTCCTCAACTGGGGTTTTTGAAGCAACTTTCTAAAGAAGGGACTATTTGCAAAAGTGTGGGCAGAGACACTAGCAACACCATGAACAACATAAAGCCATTATCACTCTCAGGTTTGTGGAGAGGGTGATCTTGGTTAACGCAAATGATAAAGAGAGAGGCTTTCTGAAGAATAAAGTTAATTGGGAACAGAACACTGCAGTGGGAATACACATGCCATATAAATTATGTGCATATTCAAGAAGGTAAAGGAAGACAAAGGTTTTAAAAGGCAAAAGAGAAAAGTACATGTAATTTGTTTTGAAATGAAGAGAGCATTGGTTATAGGGGCTTATCGCAGGAGTTGGCGGCAGTTCATCAGTGGGGACGGTATCAGGTGAGTGTTCTTGTACATCTGGCTAGCTGTCCTTGTGACTCATGTAGCAAATTGCAGTTTGAAAAGTCCTTGGCAAAAGTTTTTGTTAGGCATATGTGCTTAAGAGAGTCTTTGTAATAGTTCTTATAATAGGAATGTATGCGTCAGGGCCCTCCCTTCGTAGGCTCCTGCTTCATTTATGATTTCTTTTAGAGTTTGACACACATGACTCCATTTTAGTTCTGACATCTTTCACATCTTGGAACCAGGTTGAAAGTTGGAACTGTTTAAGGGCTGCCTGACAGGAACCGTGAGCGTGGAGGAAGACAGACATAGCCAGACCTGGGCTGTGGGAGGGATGCAGGGAGTAGAAGTAAATACTGTGACCTTGGTCTCCTCCAATCTTCAGCCGGCTGCCAGTTGCACCATCTGCTAAGCCTGAATCCAGCTAGAGGCCAGCGGGTATGGGACCCAGTGATGCACACACAGAGATCAGCCCTGCAGGAGACCAGGGCAGAGGAGAGTGGAAGGGAGATTGGGAGGGTGGGAGGCAGAGAATAACCAGCACAGCATTCTTGACTCTTCTAACCCTCCCACACATGTGAGTCTCTCCTTACTCTCCACTAGATCTGCTCAATTACCATTGTCCCTGTGTTACCGAACTCAGGTCCAGCTGCCCACCCCCTTACGAAGGAAAGACAAAAAGACTCAGAAGTCAAATGGTTGGTGTTAGAAAAGCAGATGTATTCAGCTGAAGGAGATGGTAAGCTATCCCATCTCAAAGATTCAGATCTATTGAGGGATTGAGGGAATGGAGTGTGGGAGACGAAAGGCAGGAGAGAAGGAGACATGGGCTAGGACGCATCCGTGTCTATGAGTCAGGTACAAGGTCTCACCAAGGCCTCGTCTGGCTTCTGTTCTCATCTTCGCTATTATCTCAGGACCCTCCAAGATTTTGATTTGCTCCAAAGTAGAATCAACTCTTCTGCAAAGTCTTTTGCGTAGTTTCGCTTCGCAGAGCTCTGGTTGACTTGGCTGGTGCCCAAGGTCAGCTTCCAGTCATTTGGCCTTGATCACTTTGTAAAACTTTACAAATTTCAAAGAAAGAACCGTTAGCTTTGCAAAGTACTGATTAGCTTCTCAGCCTTGTTTTCCATTTAGCAAGCAAGATAAGAAAGTCAGGGGGTGTGAAGAAAGAGTGGAGAGAAAAAAACTGACCTTTTAAAAATGCCCTCCACCCCCAGCCCAGGCAGTTTTAGGTCACAGCATGGCTCAGTCCTGCTCACTCCAACACCTGTTTGGATAGAGCTTTTCTCCACAGGTTGCTTGCCAGCTTCTGGATTGGTTGCTGTTGAGTAGTTGTCCCCTTGCTTCCCAACAATTCTGGCCAGAGGAGGGAGGACAGGTCTGGGGGTTCAGAGCATGGCCCCTTCCCTCAGGAGGGGGTGTGGGCAGGGCTGTTCCCCTCAGAATCGGCTGCAGTAAACTAAAGTGTCCAAATGCTGTGCCAACTTTCAGAGCCACCAGGAATGTGATGGCCCCTGGCGCTCCCAGATGGTTCCAAGGTGGTGTGGTCACAGCCAGACTCATTTTTGGCTTGTTGAATATGAGACCATTGGGTCCTCATGGTGATGTTTTTGGCTGCAGACGTCAGAGTCTGGGCTGTATAGGCTGACTGGTATCCTACCCCGGGTGGGCAGTCCATGTGTCCTTAGACCTCAGAAATGCACCTCGTGTCACAGCTACCTTGGAGCTCTTCTATGTGCAATGCAGAGGTTTAGGATTGATCAACAGCATGTATACTCATGTCGTCCAAGGATTCACCCTTTTTCCTCTTGTCTACCTCACAGTACCTGACATGGTGCTAGGTGTGTGATACCTTTAGCCTTACTCCTGCAATAGATAAGCCCTACAGTTACTCCTGTGTCAGTAATGTCGGGAGCCCAGATGGAGAAGGGAGACAGCATTAGCACACTTAAGTGTGCATCGGTCCTGTGTGTGGCCGCTGAGGGAGACTCACCAGACCTCTCTGTTGCCTCGTTCCCTGCAACTGTGCAGGAAGAGCACTGCTAGAGATCGCTCGTGTGAAAACACATTTTTTGGGGCCAGGGAGTGGAGCATCCAGTGGATTGAGCTGAGTGTTTAAAGGTCAGAGCTTAGGGCTGGTTTCTTGGGCACTTCTTGCTTCCAGAGGATCTGGATTTCTCCTGCATAGGGAAGATGACAGCCCTCTCTCTTGCTCTTTTGTAATCTTTTGGCATCTTGTCCGTGCTGTGTGGATGTGAGACAGGCCAGGGGCTGCTTTTACTGCCCCAGGCAGTGGAAGCCTGGGCAGCGTAGCCCAGAGCAGCTTGAGCCCGCCACGGCCCTCTGGCTGTGGCCCCTGTGCACATGTGTGTTTTGTTTGCTCGTGCTCTTTCCGCATTGGTCTGCACCCCCACCTGAGCTGGAAGATCTGACATTCTGCTGTGGACTGACAGTGAGGGGGCAACAAAGGCCACTCCATTGGCTTCAAAACCAAGATCCAGGCTGTCTGGACAAAGGAGGGCTCCACATGGTGTTTGCAGCCTCATAGTGAAGAGTGTTCTTTTGCCAGGTCTTGCTCTGTACTTATCTTTCCCTCAGGAACCTTGTGCACTGGGGTGGGGGGCGGGGAAGAGTGCCGTGCCCAACTCTCTCTGTCTCATATCTCATATTTCCAGCGCTTTGATGGGATTTGGGAAATATATGCCTTTTCTCGTTTATTCCTTATAGCACCTCTGTGAATAAGTGTTATCACTCCCATTTCACAGATGAGAGAACTGAGGCTTAGAGAAGCCAAATAACTTGCTCAAGATGTTACAGTTATTTAATGTCAGAATTGAGACCAGGGTTCAGGTCTCTCAGACCCTCTCCACCATACCCAATAAATGAATTAAAGTAAAGTAAAATGTTCTGAAGGAGCTGTTTGGGAAGTCATTTCTAACAAGATATTACCGTGATTGTCCCTTTAATATTTTTATCTTCTTCTGGTAAAAAGAGCACAGATTTATAATTTCAACGCAAGATCTGCTCCCAAATGAAAATAGCCATGGCATCTTTTTATACAAATGTGTGTTCATCCTTCACAAACTGATATGTTTTATAAGCCTCCAGATACTGCAGTAAAGTGGTTTTAGGAAAATTGTTTTTGGCACACTTGCTTTTGAAATAAATGCATTACTATTATTTTAAAATCTTTTTGGTAAAATTACTTAGTCAAAGCAAAGATTCACTTCACTGAATTTTCCTGTAAAGGTGTCACATATTTCTGCAATTGCAGCCTCCCAGAGTGCACTAATACAGACCACACCAGAGTACAGTCACCATGTATTCTGTGAAGTGAGAGGAAAGTAGAAAGAATTCACTCCCCAATAAAACAATTTTTATGTTTTGGTGTATTTCTTTAC